CCCCAAAACCCCAAAACCCCAAAACCCCAAAACCCCGAATAACAGCACAATATTGATTGTTAATACCTGGTGATCTATTTCTACTAAATCACAATTTGGTTTTGATTTTAGCTTTCGCTAAAGGAAGAGAATAGTATCAAAAGATGTCAAAGAAGATAAAGCAGTAATACAAATACTCATAAAAAGTCATACTACCTACTCCTCACCTCTATTGCTCTCACCCATCCCAAAATTTCTCTTTCAGCATAATGATTAAAACTGCTCCCTCTGAAAGTCATATTTCTCGATAATATCCAAATCAATCTCTAAACTGTCTAAATCTAAAAAATAGATCTAAATAATCAAGCATTCGTTCTGGAACAATCCCGGCTGCTAACACTGCTTATAAATAACTAAGAAAAACTAATGGAACCCTCCCAAGATCAAAAACAGTTAACTTAATTCGATACTATTAATGATAAGATTAGGCTTAGTTTTCCAGAGCTTTCCTCTCAGCTCTCCACTTTTCAAAGTGTTCAAACATTGGCTTCTCATGCTTGCTCTCTTCACTAACACAGGTTGATACAAGGATGGCTCCAACAAGATATGGGTCAAGGTTGGAAGCAGGCCTACGGTCTTCTAAGTAACCCATCTTGCTTGACTCTACAGAGGTTGGGATCCTAATGGATGCAGTCCTGTCACCAACTCCACAAGTAAATTCATCATGAGCACAAGTTTCGTTCTTACCAGTGAGCCTCTTCTCATTGTCAAGCCCGTAGAGGTCCAGGTGCTCTTTCTTCTTCTTTGATAATTTCTCTACAGCTTCGTAGATTTCCTTGAGTCCTCCTTCTTGTCTCATGCCAATGGTTGAGAAATTAACATGGCCTCCAGCTCCAGCCCAATCACCTTTAATTGGCTTTGGATCGAAAGAGACAGCAACTCCAAGATCTTCAGAGACTCTTCCTAGAAGATACCTAGCCATCCAAAGATGGTCTCCAATTGAGATGCCCTCACATGGGCCAATCTGGAACTCCCATTGACCAGGCATTGTTTCTCCATTGGTTCCAGAGATGTTTACTCCGGCTGCTAAGCATGCTCTGTAGTGAATATCAACAATTGATCTCCCATAGCAAGTAGTAGCTCCAATAGAGCAGTAGTAAGGTCCCTGCTTAGAAGGGAACCCTCCTTGCGGCCACCCAAGAGGCCATTGTGTGAAAGCATTAGAACATTCCATTAAATAATACTCTTGTTCTATTCCGAACCAAGGGTGATGCTCTTCAGCTTCTTCAAAGATAGGCTCAGAGAAGTGTCTAAAATTGGTGTTTGAGGGCTTCAGCTTGGTTCTAGACTCATCAGTCCAAGAATAAGTTTCACACAGCACCAGTACATTTTCTCCTCCTCTGAATGGATCATTGAAGTAAGCAACTGGCTTGAGGATAACTTCAGAGTCTTCAGTGCAAGCTTGTTCTGTAGAAGAACCATCAAAATTCCATTCTGGAAGATCTGAGAGTTCTTCGATCTTATCAGGAAGAGATCTGGACTTAGACCTAAGATTGATGCCAGTTCCATCAATCCAGATATACTCAGCCATGATTCTATCATGTTGTTCCCACTCATCGAAACCTGTGTGGTAGACTCCATAAAATGGTTTCATTTTTAACTTAATATTTGATTAAATTCCTTCCATTTGCTCACTCTTAAATGGGGTTTTGGGGTTTTGGGGTTTTGGGGTTTTGGGGTTTTGGGG